CGTTTGTTCCTGTGTGTTTATTTGTGATTCTGAAATAGACCTGACACTTTTTTTTACTCGTACTGAAAATCGATTATTCAATGGCAAATAATGTCAAAAAAATGGAAATAATTCTCATTCTCATCATCACCATCATAAGCACGGTAAAAAAAAAACCACGGGAGATCGAAAATAATAACAAACTGACCACTAGTGTTTTCTTTTACTTCACCACACACACTTTCCACTAATGAACATCAACATCACATTTATTGGACACAAACACGTTTTATGTTCTAAATCGGTTGGTTAAATTGTGAAATTTTCGTTACGGTTAATTTTGTCTTTTGCGGTACGAAAAAAAAATGCCCAATAATTCCTGGAGAATTTCAAGGTTAATGAATTCTGTGTGTGTGTGTGCGTGTTAAAGTTTTTGTTTCATGTAAATCAATAGATTGTATGTGAACAAAACAAAACAAAACAAAACGAAAAAACGGCAACCAATTAATCGGCCATAAATGAGAAGCTTTCATTTTCACTTTTATTTCTCCATTTCTATTATTCAAAAAAAAATCTTTTCAACAACAACAAAAAAATTTTTTCATGAAAAGATTTGCAATAACAACAATGATGATGATGATGATAATATTATTATTATGAAGCGATTAAACAAATACAATGGTGGCGTACATATGATTCGTGATTCAATTCAATATTGAATTGAATTGAATTCAATTGAATTTGCGAATATATAAAAAAAAAGATCTAATTTTGTTGTTGTTGTTGTTGTTGTTATATATCAAACAAACAACAACAAAATAAACAAGCAATTCAATTCATTTTTTCAGAAAGAGAGAGAGAGAGAGAGAAAGCGGAAAAAAAGAGACCAACAACAACAACAACCTTAACCTTTACACCATTTTCATTCATTCATTCATTCATTTTTTGTTGTTAATTTTCTTTTTCTTCTTCATTTTTGAATATATCCACAATACAAACAATGACATTCAATGGCATTTATGCTTGATGCATGCAAGTGTGTGTGTGTGTGTGTGTGCAGTGAAAAAAAAAACACCAGAAATCATCATTTCATTACAAATTTTAATAATACAATTGAATTGGTTTTTTTTCTGGTTTTCATTCAGAAAAAAAAAAAATTTTTTTTTTCTGGTAAAAATTTCCATCCCCTTTTCTATTCTATTCTATTCTTTTCTTTTCCATTCAAAAGATTTACACGGGTAATAACAAATAATGAATATATATATGAATACCCGGTGCTTCTGTGTGTGTGTGTGTGTGTGTGTGTGTGTTTATTTTATTATGATCATCATCATCATTTCATTGTTATTCTATTCAATTTCAATGAAGTAAAAAAAAACAACATTGTTTGACATTGTAATTTTCAAGTGTGATTTTCAACAACAAAAAAAATGAAAAAAGATTATCCACTCTGCTTATCATTTATATTCAATAGATGATGATGATGATGATGATGTCTAGTTATAGAGTGAATGAATGAATGACTGAGATATTGATCGGGTTTTTTTGTTGTCGTTGTTGTTGTTGTTGTTATTGAATTCTTTTCATTTCAATTGAATTCATGTTTTTTTTTGTTGTTATGGAATATAAAAAAAATTTTTTTTTTTTTTTTTTTTTTTTTTTCTGTTGGTTTGTTGTTGCTTTTATTGTTTTTATATACACACACACACAAAAAACCAGAAATGAATCGAATGAATGAATGAATGGATCATAATTGGCTCAATTTTCATGTATCGTACACACAATGGCAAGTAAGTGTGTGTATTTTGTTTCTGTTTCTGTTTTTTTTTTCACTGTTAATTTGTAAATATTTTATTGTGTTTGACGATGATGTTTTTGTTTTCTTTTTAAATACGATATATTGATAACCGATTACGCCCACGCGTTTTTTTTTTTTTTGGTTGGAAAAAAATCATTAGATTTTCTGAATACAATATTGTGTCACTAAACTCAGAAAAAAGAAAACAGCGTGGGAGGAGGGGGTGGCAACCGATCTATTTGTAATGTCCATTCTCAACAACATTTTTGCAATGATGATGATGATGATGATTTGTACATGATGGTTTTTTTTTATCTTGTTAAAAACATTAGACAACAACAACAACTGTGCGATGTTTTTCATTCTCAAGATTCATTTGTCCACTGTGATATTAATCTCTCTTCTTTTTTTTTCATCATTACCACTCATTCTTGATCATCTGAAGTAGCAGTGAAAAAAAATCAAATTTATTTGCTATTGATGGGTTTCAGATGACCAAATCCACCGAAAATGATTGGAAATTTTTGTTTTGAATTTTTCTTTTTTGGGTCTTTATACGGCTTCTGATTTTGTTTTTTTTTCTCTTTTTCTGTTGATAACAATAGACAACCATCTCTTTATCTTTAGATATATACGAGTAGGGTGATATATGATGATCATAGAGAACCAATTTGGACAATGGAAACACCAAACAAAGCAGCAACAACAACAACAACAACAACAAAAACCTCCGGTTCAAAACAATGACACCGGCCGATTCTCCATTGATCAACTTTTGTACATTTGAAAACTGTTGAATATTGGATTGGAATACGAATCAATCAGTGTCGTTTAAACTTGATTTTCATTGTTATTGGATTGTTGAATTCAGTTATTTATCCTTTTGTTGTGTTGATATTACAAAAAAAAAAAAAAATCATTCAAATTGCCATTGTGACAATAACCATCTTCTTCTTCTTCATTTAATAATGATCATCATCATCATCATCATCATCATGATTTCAAACACACACACACAAAAAAAAAAAAAAAAAAAACTCAAGTTTTTCATCATCATCATCATCAACATCATTACAATCATTAATTTGGCCTCAATATTTTTTTCGGTGTTGAATAAAAAAAAAATGTTCGGGTTAAAGACAGTAAGAGAGAGAGAGAAGCCTATTCTATGCTCATGTAGCAAATTTTTTTTTTTTTTTTTCATTCATTCATCCATCTCTGGCTCTATTGATGTCATTACCGTCTATTGTTTCTTGTTCCTTGTTTTTTTTTTTAGGTTGTTGGCTTGGCTTGGCTTCACTATTACTATTCAATATATACCCGCCATCAGTTTTATATATACAAAAATTTTTTTCTGAGTATAAATGTTGAGATGAAGTACATGCGTATTGAAACGGTTTGTTTTTTTGTTTTTTAGTTTGCTGACATTGTATGTGTGTGTGTGTGTCCATCTTTTTTTCTCTCTCTCTCTCTCTCTCTCTGTTCATTCTCTGTATGGATGAGTTGTTTTGGATGGTTTAAAAAAAAATAAAGAAATTGCGTGTTGGAATGTTTGATGAAGAGAAAAAAAAAGAAGGCGTCACCGTGTAATACCCAAATATAAAATGATCATCATGGTTTTTTGTGTGTTGATAAAAGACAACAGCAATCTTACTGTTGATGCGTCTCTCTCTCTCTCTCTTTCTTTCTGTGTGTGTATGTATCATCAACATATTCAAGTAGGCGGTCTTTAACCATCAAGTAGGATAGTCATATTATTAACAATAAACAATATAAAGAGGAATGGCCATTATTTCAGCTCATAGTTCATGTTATCATCATTCTACCTCTGCCTCTATTTTTTTTTGTTTTGTTTTGTTTTGTTTCTACCATACGTGAAGCAATACAACAGCCAATCGAGTTTAAGAGATTTTTTTTATGATGTGATGAAAAGCAACAACAAAAAGTGTGTGTGTTGTTGCTATTTGGTACACACTGCAAGCAAATATCACGACTATCTATCTAGCTAGCTAGCCATGGCTACTAGCTCAATTAGTTTGTACAGGTCAATGCAAGCAAACGGACACAAGATACAAGATACATACACACATAGCCAATGTAATAAAAGTGTAAAAGAAGAATTATAAATTCTCATCATCAACAACAACAACGGCAACAACAACAACAACAAAAACTGTTATCTTCTATCCATCGATATTATTTTTTTTCTCCTATTTCTAAGGGCTACAATTTTTTTTTTGTTCCACAACCAACCAGTCAACCAACCAACTAACTAACTAACGAACGAACGAACGAAAAAAAAGAAGAAAACAACTAACCAACCGACCAGAAAGAAAAAGATCCTTCTCTATTTTTTTTTCTTCTTTGGTTTGGTTTGTCATTGTGTTGTGTTGTGTCACATATATACACATAAAAACGTACATCTTCTTGTCTTTACTGCTGTTTACTCTGTTTTTTTGTGTGTGTGTGTGTGTGCTATTTTGTTTTCTTTTTTTATTGTCAAATTTCATCTTGAGTTCCAACAATACATCTCTCTCTCTCTCTCTCTTTCTGTCTATAGATCCATGAACAAATAGGACGACTGCAAAAAAAGTGTCCCTAGAAAATCTAACTAGTGTAGAAAAAATTTTTTTTTTCTACCAATTGAATCTGGTTCTCTTCACAGCTTCACTTCATCTTGTCTGTGTGTGTATTGATTTTGTCTTCAATTTTTTTTTTCTTGGGCTTTGTTGTAGCTGTGTTTGGACCCGAAAAAAAAGAATACTCTCTCTATCCAAGTTTTGGTTGTTTCTACACTGTGTGTTTTTTTTTTTGTTTGTTTGTGTGCATTATATCCGAGAAAAAAAAGTTTCAAATTCATTGCCCCGTTTTATTCGTCGTCATTTAATGTCCAAATTCAATATAATCTAAAAGAAACTCTTCAGACCAGAAATTGATCTTTATCATCACAAATCCATTGTCGATGACAACAAAACAATTTTCATTCAAATTCAATACACATAGTGTTTCAAATACCAAGTGTTTCAATTCGAAATTCATATTGTTGTTGTTCAATAAACTATTGTCATGATGATGATCATATAATAAGTTGACATTGATGATGCAAATTAAATTTTTCGATGAACAATAACTGATTTGAAAACAAAACAACCCGACGGTTGACAATTGTTTTTTTTCTGTTTTGTTTTTCGGTTTTTTTTATTGTTTTACCGTGATTGAAAAAAAATGTGTTTACATTGTTGATTGATTCAATCAATTCATCTCATCAATCGACATTAATCGAATATTTCTATTTTCTGGTTATCTTCAATACAACTAAACATTCAAAACGGCATTCTATCATCCAACAACGGCCACAATGGCCACATTAGAACGCGATTATTCCGCGTATACACCATTTGGTTTGGCAGCAGCAGCAGCCGGCCATCATCATCCACATCATCATCCGCATCATCCCCACCATCAACATACAATGGATGCACATGATCTAAAAGCATTTAGCCATCATCATCATCAAACATCAATACCACAACAGTTACCATCATCGGTAATGACACCACCAACACCGACCTCAACACCAAATTCACAACAACAACAACAACAACAGCAGCAACAACAACAACAACAACATCATTTACATGCAACAACAACGGCTACGTCATCATCGTCATCATCATCATCATCATTAAGTACGAATCATAGTTCCAATAATAATAATCAAAGTACACATCATCATCATAATAATAATAATAATCATCATCATCATCATAATTCAAATTCAATCAATAAAAAAGAAATTGATCGTGTTAAACGTCCTATGAATGCATTTATGGTTTGGAGCCGTGGCCAAAGACGTAAAGTAATGATAATGAACATGATTATTCAATCGATCGATCAATCGATCGATTTTTTAAATCTAATTTTCTCATTTCCATTGATTAATGTTTTGATTTTTCTTGTTTTTCCATTTTTCGATAATTGTTTCTTTCCTTTTGATACAAAAAAAAGATGGCTCAAGAACATCCAAAAATGCACAATTCTGAAATAAGTAAACGTTTAGGTGCCGATTGGAAGGAATTATCTGAAATAGAAAAACGACCATTTATTGATGAAGCAAAACGTTTACGTGCTGTTCATATGAAAGAACATCCTGATTATAAATATAGACCACGAAGAAAGACAAAAACGTTGATAAAAAAAGATAAATATCCAGGTATTAATTCTACTGGATTATCATCATCAGCAACATCATTGTCATCGGATACAACGATGCCAACTAGCCGTAATCACCATCATCATCATCATCATCATAGTAGTTCATCAGCGGCTGCAGCAGCAGCTGCCGCTGCTGTACAACAAGTAAGCCGAGATATGTATGGCCAAATGAATGGTTATATGACCAATGGTTATCCAAGTGGTTTGATGCATGAAGCATATCAACAACATGCTGCTGCCGCTGGTTATAGTAGTGCTGCAGCGGCAAGTATGGCTGCTGCAAATGGTGGTTTATATGGTCGTTATGATATGTCACAAATGACGATGCCTGGCAGTTCAATGCCAATGCCATATATGAATGGTTCGACAAATTATTCATCGATGGCACCAATCTCTGGATCAGCATATTCATCGATGGGTTCATCAGCAAGTCCAATATCGGGCACTGGATCATCATCATTATCATTGAAATCAGAATCATCAGGTCATAGTGGTAATTCACCGAATACGATGGCAGCGGCTGTTGCCGCTGCAGCAACAGCTGTAAGACGACCGTGCAATACTGATTTACGTGACATGATTAGTATGTATTTACCGCCAGGTGAAGCGGCAGCTGCTGCTGCCGCCGCCGCCGCATCCTCTAATGGTGGTAATAATGGTGATCCAAATAATGTACAAACAACAAGATTACAACAGATGCAAAATCATTATCAAACCTCACCGAATGAACATCCAATGTCATTATCTCATATTTAATCACATCATTCATTCTTTCATTGTGTTTATGGTGTGTGTGTGTGTGTGTTGTACTATGTGAGCATTTCGGTGGGAGAAGGGCGAAAAAAAAACATTCAAATTCAATGTTTTTGTGTGTCACTTAAATCGAATCTCAATCCATCATTATCGACAAAAAAAATAACCATTTCCTTGTTAAGTATCTGATCCGCGCCCTTTATTGGAAAAAAAAGAACTTGAATCAATTTGTGTCAAAGTTAATCTTCAAATTACATCACATCATTATCACCATCATCACTACGACCACCACCACTACCAACAACAACTACCATCATCATCATTAAACATATGAACGCCCATTTGTTCTTTTCTCATCATCATTTCTCACACTCATTGATTGATCATGATCATCATCATCATCATCAGCAACAACAAGACTGAATGGACGGAAAATCATACCCACTGGGCAGCTATTATGGATTAAAAAAAAATTTAGAAGAAACGAAAAAATTTTTCATCACATCACTTGCCACAAAAAAAATACAAGCTACTAGACCAAAAATTCATCATCATCAGCATTCAATTAACGTTTTTTTTTCCAATTTTCGTTCCAAACAAGCAAATAAAAATTGTTTCCAACATCATCATGATCAAGACCACCATGTTTTCTGTTTGTTTGTTTGTTTCTGTTCTGTTCTGCTCGTTTGTCAAACAAAAAATATCCAATTTCATAACAAACAAACAAAAACACAGTGGACGCCCACGCGGTTTTATTTTTGTAAAATAAAATAAAAACGAAAATGAAAAACATTTTTTCTGTTCAATATTTATTACATCATCAATTTCAATTTGGTGTATAATGATGATCATCAACAACAACAACAACAACATCCTATTCACAAAAAACAGGACAATTTAATCTCATCTTATTCCACACATACACACTCACACACACACAGACATCTTATTCTTATTGGTCTCTTCATTTCTTTATTTAGATGGATTTTGATTGAAAAAACAAACAAAAACAAACACAAAATTTTTTTTTTTTGCGATTTGAACATATATCATCATCATCATCATCATTATATACATTAATATAATATGAAAAATAACTATTTGTAAATATATCGATTATTGATTAATCAAAAGAAAAAAAATACAAAAAATTAAATACCAAAAATTGATTGATTCTCAATTGATCCAATTTTCATTTCATAGCATCACCAATTTTTTTCTCTCTCTCTCTCATTGATATTTTGTTGTTATTATTATTATTATTATCATGATTATCATTATGTCACAAACATTTTCAACAAGAAAATGGAGAATCGAGAAAAAAAATTTTCTTAATAAATTTGCAATAATAATAATGACAATTTGTGGAAAGGAGAAAAAAAGCCAATTTTTTTTTATTAGCCATAATCATCAACGATTCCAGGTTCATTTGGAAACATGTAAAATATGGCCGCAAGCGATGATAATTGCCCATTATTATGTGTGTGTGTGTTATTTGTTTATATGTATGGCTAAAGTGTGCCATATGCGTGCCATGATCAAATAATTTCATCATCATCATCATTGAGCGAGTGAGTGAGTGATTGAGTGTTGATTTGATTTGATTTTGTTTCAATCATTTTATCAGTCAAACGAGGAGATAGTAGTAGTGTTTATGGAAGTAAATTTGTTCCGTTTGAATGATGATGATGATGATGATGATGAGAATATTGTGATTCATGAACAAAATAATACCCAGTGTATTAAGAATCATATATAATTGAACTTGACTTGATTTGATTGACTTGAATGATTTGATAAATCGTGTCGTCGTCGTCGTTGTAGTCGATGAAATTAAGTCGTGTGCGGCGGCGGCTGCGGTGTTGGCAATCATTATCATTTTCAATCAATCAATCAATCAATCGATCAAATGAAATGAAATAAAAACAAAACAAAAAAAAATCATCATTTCAAATCAAGTTCGAAGGTTAATTATATGCTTGACCTTGTTTACTACAAAAGAATCCCAGAGTGAGAGAGAGAGAGCGGGAGACAAAATGCTGGATTTGTCATTTTATTTCAATTTTGTTTGTTTGTTTGTTTGTTTGGTTGGTTATGATTATCTAATCAGCATATGAAAAAAAAAAAAAAAAAAATTCTGGTTCATCACATCCAGAGCGCCAAACAATAACATTGGATGGTTATGGCTGTATATGACAAGTGGTGACAATTTTTTTTTGTCTGTCCCCACACTGAGGTACGGTTGTGGTTGTTGTGGTTGAAAAAACGTCAATTATCTATCTATTGATCACTATGGTATTCATTGTGGACTATGGACATCATTTATTGTTCAATCATCATCATCATTAAAAAAAAAAAATCCCCGCCATTTTAAAAATATTTTTTTTTTTTGTTACCACAAAGAATGAAGCATTTTATCCATTTTTTTTTTGAATTTGACATTTGCATTGTTGTTGGTCTTCAAATCTCTTCCTTATGACAAATTTTTTTTGTGCACAGAGAGTTTATCTCTTTATCATCATTAGTGGATTTTTTTTTTTTTGAATGAAAATTTTTTCACATCAATTGAATTATGAAGATGGTAAGAAAGAAAATGATGGCCCACTACAACTACTACTACTACTACTATTTCTGTCTACTTTATTATCAAGATTAGGTTAATGGTCAAGCGACCATGCAAACAAAATATCCATTCATATCATAATCTAATGATAATGATCATTTAGTAGTATCAATGTTTGGATCAGGTGGTTAATGATAATTTAATGCGATAATTATTCAACAAACACACAAAAGAAAAAAAAATTTTGAATTTTTCCATTTTGTGAATACGGAAATGAATGAAAATCCATCATAATCATCATCATCATCATTCAAAGAGAAAGATGCAAATTCAATTCCATCACATATATGTAAATTGTGTGATTACAGACACACACACACACAAAATGATGTTTTGACGTTGTTGTGTCGTAGTCGTGTGTGGTGGTGGTGGTGGTAACGGTGGTGCCCAATGTATCATTCCATCATCATTATCATTATCAATTTCTTGTTATTGTTGTTGTTGTTGTCCATATTTTATAACATATAATTCAATTTGGCCATTTCACCATTATGTTTCGTTTTGTTATTGTTCATCACGATGATGATGATGATGATGATGATGGAATTTCGGAAAGAGTTGCTGTTGTTGTTGTTGTTTTTTTCTGGTAGTGGCAGCCATTTATAATATATATATATGACATATAGGTTGGCTAATTTTTTTGTTTGTATGCGATTGAACGCATGGATGGATGGATGGAGAGAGAAGAAAAAATCCTTTGATGTGATGACTTTGGCCGAGAAATAAAACACTGAACAAAATAGCCACTGAGCATAATGTTATTTTTCTTGGTGTTTTTTAAATTGCTGACTCTATATATAAATCATCGATGATGATGATGATGATGATCATTTTTCATGATTAAGATTAACAGTCATTGGATGCTTCAGGCAACAATCATAATCCTTTTTTCTTCTGCTACCACTACACATATTAATCCAATCTAATCAAATCAAAAAAAAAAAAAAATTCTGGCGAAAAACAACAACCTGAAACCATGCACCGATGATAATCAAAAAAAAAAAAAACTAGCCAGGCAGGCATGCAGGCAAGCCACCATGATTACAGTTATTTAATGGCCAATTAAATTGTATATTGCTGATCACAAATGATGATGATGATGATGTTTTATACGACTATTGCTCAACCATGCAGACACACACAGGAGGAGAATGATCAAAGATCATTGTGTGTGTGTATGTGTGTGTGATATATGGTGGTTTTCTATCCATTATACCACCACAATCCTAATCATCATCGTCATCATTATCATGGTTTTTTTTCCATAAAATAATAATGATATATGGTAGTTAATTTGATGATCATCATCATTATAGTTTGTGTGTGTTTTTTATCCACAAAAATTTCATAGATCCACATCATTGTTGTTGCTGTTATCTTGGATCTTTTAAACTAGCTAAATGATCCAAGATGTAGAGAGAGAGAGAAAAAATACATAAATAAATAAATAAAATAACAGGTTCGATTGCACCTGAAAAAAAAAAATTGTATGTATTCTGGCGTAATATAATGATGAATCCTTATGATTGCTGCTGCTGCTGCTGCTGCTGGTAAAGTGAACAACTACAATTACAACAACAACAAAAAAAAACGGATATATCGAGTACTACTGAACATATACATATTTCTCTATCTCTCTTGGGCAAAGAATTATTATTAGTAATCTAAATTGACAATACATTTTCGATGATGGTGATGGTGATGGCGATGGCGATGGCGATGGTGGTAGATCATCATCATCATCATCATCATTGGGTTGACCGGTTCGTAAACAACAACCAACCAGCCAACAAGAGAGAGAGAGAGAGAGACTTGCTTCAATGAATTCTTGGGCGTGTGTCACAAAAATTTTTTTTTCTTCTATTTTCATTCCATTTTGTTCGTTGGTTTTTTTTTTTTTTTTTTATTTCATTTCACGAAGATGATTTGTATTGCGATAACGCACAAAAAAAAACGTTTGAAAATGATGATGAATGGAATGGAATGGAATGGAAAAGCCTAAAAAAGCAGCAGCAACAACAACAACAACAACAACAATGACTAAACAGAATGATGATGAAGGAAGCAACAACAACAACAACAACGACAACAACAACAAAAACGGAAGCAAATAATGAATAGATGTCGATTGTGTCCTGTGTGTGTTCATTCCAGCAATAAATATATGGATATCGTTGTTGTTGTTGTTGTCGTTGTCATCAATTTTTTTTTTATTTTGCCTGATTCGATTCAAACGGCTAAATTTTTGTTTTTTTTCCCGTTGCTGCTGCTGCTGCTGTTGGTTGATTATTTCAAACGAAATTTTTTTTTTCGTTTATCGAATATTTTTTTTCGCAGTTTTTTCCTCCTCTCTTTCCTTTCGGTTATTATCATCATTACCGCAGCAAAATAATGACAATGACAATGACAAGCCAGGAAAACCGGGAAGAGAGAGAGAGAAAGAAAACGGGACATAATGATGGTGGTAGATAATTATTAATTAACTATGGTTCAACTAGCCATTATCATCATCATCATTTGACCAAACTATGGTCATCATTAATGGTGTAGTGACCAATCAACAATCAACAACAACAACAACAACAAAAAAAAATCGAACGGAATTCACTATTTAGACACATATCAGTTCCAAATAGTCGATATAGATGATGTCGAATGAATCGATATTCGTCGTCGTCGTCATTGAGAATTTCCAATTTTTTCTTCTTTGGTTGCCACACACATACCCAATATTTCATTTCATTCATTTTCAAATGTCCATTAATTAGCTTTTTTTCCAAATAATCTATTTTTCGAATGTCAAAATACGAATTTTTTATGCTGCTGCTGCTGCTGTTTGGTTCATTGGTTCATTGGTACACAGCAATGATGATGAAAGAAAATCGAAAATGTTTGGCCCAAA